CGGCAAGTCATGGGGCCTTTCACACGAAGCGATGAGATGCTAGGTCTGTACGTGCAGACACTGCTGTCATTCTCCCGGATGAATGGTTCATGTGGAACTGGGTGACTTCAGCTTCATCTAAACTCTGAATGGACCCTTGAGAACAATAAGAAATTGTTAGTAGTGTTAGGGAGGAGTTGACAATAGAACTTGTCAAGGTTGACTTGAAAACCTTGTCCAGTAGATTTAAGGCGCATCCTTAACCTCTTTTTATGTCATTTTGTCACTTGAGGGTTAGGGAGGCTAAAACTCTTTAGAATGCTTTAAGTATGGATTAACCTCAATTTAGGAATAAATTATATTTTTCAAATTTGCAAGTCATTTGGACTTGGAGTACATTTCTCTATATAAAGATTGTTACAAGATGCGGTCCTCAGTTGCCCACACGTGGGAAGGAGGCAGGCAGCTCTGGCACCATGGCAGAGAGAAACAGGTTTGGAATCGGAACCCCTGGGCTCCCCTCGTTCTTGCCATTTTCCAGCTGTGTGCCTTTGCAGAAATAGCCTCTTGGGTGCCAGCTTTTCACTTGTAAAGTGGGAGGACATACTCGCCAAGGTGGTTGTGAGGCTCAAAGGAGAGAGCCCGTCAAGGTGCTCTGTGATCTTAAGTCACATACTAGTTAGGAAACACAGGTGTAAGGGAAAAAAGTGTCACAAGGGTGGGAACATGTGTTCGTGGTCAGGAATACCCGTCGCTGGCTGCAGCTGTCCGAGAGCCACCTGCAGGTAACCACAGGGGGCAAACGGGGCTTCAAGTTCTGCCTCTCACACCTTGAGGAGGAAGAGAAAGAAGGACTTCAGCGTGCTGGAAGACCCACCTGAGGAATCTCAAAAATGCAGATCATGGGGCTCTACTTCCCCGTGGTCCTGGTGGCGGGGTTGGGGAGGCCCTGAGAAGGATCCCGGACTTCTGAGTCACCTGCTGGGGCGGGGCGACCTGGGGAGGGGAGAAGTCCAGGAGAGGACGTGAGAGCGGTGGGGGTCTCCGGTGCTGGGCGGAGAGGGAATAGGGTTTAGGAGCTCTTGAGGGTTGATCAAAACGGTAGGGAAGGACCCCCTGTCCCCTTTCTCTGTTCCTCCTGCCCTCCTTACTGCTGCTGACGCCGCGCGCCAGGCATAGGAGCGGGGCAGGGGGCGTCCCCTCCCCACTTTCCGAGGGCACTGGACTGGCCTGTGTGGGGTGGTTCGGAGGGAAAGGACAAAGGCTGCGACTGGCCTCGGGGCTGCGGCTGGAAGGAGGGGCGGCTGACGGAGCGCCTGAGGGAACGCAGCCCTGCACCCTGCCCCTGGTACCCAACCTCCGGGCGGTGTAAGCAGTTGGCTGCAGGTAAGACCAGGGATCTAATTTGCACTCAGGCAGTGGGGACTCTATTTTTGGAAAAAAACTATTAGGGTGAGAGAGAGAGAGAAGGAGAATCCATCAAAGTATATTCAACTTTGGTTTATTAAGTGGACTTGATTTAGGATTATTACATTTCCCCCCTTAATTATAGCAAGTTGTATGCCTTAATTTAGTAAACATTTGAGTCTGGCTGGTGCTCACCTGTGTGCTCTAATAAAGTTCAGTAAAACGTTGTTTCTACCCTCAGGGAGTTACATTCTATTTTGTGTGAACAAGATTCTAATAACAAGAATTTTCAGTGAAGAGGCTGCGCAAATCCCATAAGACTGAAAATTGATATAATCTGGCACAAAATTTCTTTAATCAGAAAGTGGAAAGAGCGTCCAGTTTAGTTTTAGGGTTGGTAATTTACGGATGTGCTTCCAGCAAAGTTCTCAGCCGTAGGATGGCAGTCTTTTGAATTAGATGACAAAGACCTTTTCTTGAAAACCTTTTTCTTACAGAATATGTTTGGATTTTTTGAAATGTAGGTTTTTTTTAATGTTCTGATTTTTAAAAATAACTTGCTATACTTACCTCAGTATCTTAGAATGAGAAAATATAGCATATGTGTTAAAATGGAAGAAACAAGATTGTCAATTTTATGACACTCCCAAAAGACTATAAACAGGGTTGATAATCTCTGGATTAAATTTAGAGAAAATCAATTTTAATCTCTTCTGTAGGCAAGAAGGTAAGAAAAGCTCTCTAGTGGTGCCTTTGGAAGTTTTTGTCATTTTATAGGTTTGTGCTTAAATTACATGCTCACAAGGCAGTATCTGCTTTACTTGCGCTTTCAAATGATGTATACATATAATTTATTTCAATTTTGAATAAATTAAAGCATAGTTCTACATTTTTATATAAAATAGCTTCTATGAAACAACAATGAATTGCAACTTTTCTTTCCATCTTTAAAATTAAAAAATAATACAGCGGAAGGGGGAACAAGATACTCCTTGCGGCTAAGGCAGTCTTGGCCTTTGTCTCACCTCCTCCATCCTCCTCAAGAGGCCTTGCAGTGAGTGCGTGGTTCTCAGGGCAGAGTTCCTACCTCCAACTTCCGTTTCTCTGTTTATCTGCTTTGTTTTTCTTCGGGCAAGTTACTAAAGTTCTTCGGCCTCAATGTTTCATCTGTATACTGTGGAAATATTTGTACCAACCACATAGGATAGTTGTAAGGATTTATTGAGTTAGTTCAAGTAAAGCACTTATAAAGTGCCTGGCATGTAATAAGAATTCAAATGCTAACCACTTTATTATTATTACTAATCATTGAAATGAACAAAGGAATTCAAAACATTGGGCACATTATGAATTGACTATGAAAGAGTGCCATCGAATTGCAAAAACTCCCAAGAACCTTTTAGTGCTGCGTGAGGTGAATTAAAGGCTTTAAAGCAGGCACCAAAGGCCACTTTGTACCTTCCATCCTTCTGAGGCATTGTGGTATTCTGAAGAAGTGGAGGGATGATGCCCTTCAGAAATCCTCCTTACCCCTTCCAGGATTGTGAAGGTCAGAGGCTCATTTAAAGGCATTCTGTGGACTGCATTGCTGTTAGTCAGCAGCAGACAGGATGCCTTCTTGTAGAGAATTATTCTTGTTCTTCTAGAAGCTGATTATGGTCAAACGGGAAGAAGGAGAAATTAAAGTAAAATTATAAAACAGGAGCAACATTATTATTTTAAAATAATGTTGAAAATGATAAACCAAAAAACTTATAAGAATTAGTTTAGTAAATAAGCCCAAAATAAATACACTTCAAAAATAAATATGCATACATTAACAATATCCAGTAAAGTATAATGGAAAAAAATTTTTATGGATATTAGCAGAAAAAAAAATTAAACTCCCAGGAAGACTTAATAAGAAATACGAATTGACTGTGTATTAAATATGTATTAACTCTACTAATAGGATTTTTGTCAAGGGCAATTGAAAAGCAAGATGAATAATTGAAGATATAGATCATGTTTATGGATGTGAACATACTGATTTATATTGTAAACATGTAGATTCTTCCCAAGTTAATTTATAAATGAAACCCCAATTATAATCTCACAGTGATTACCAAAGTGTACGTATGACAAGTCTCAGCATGATAAAGGTGACATTTACGTTCTGTGAGAAAAGAATGACTTACTCAGAACATGATAGTTAGATCATTGAGAAAATAAAGCCCAAATTTTGTTATGGTGGGGTGAAATCTTGCACCAAAAAGGAAGTGAATGGTAGCTTTGTCAACAAGAAAAAAATCAAGATTTCCAAATGTCAAAGTACCATATACAAACAAATGTCAAATGACAAACCTAGTTAAATATTTGCAGTTTCAAGAGAGTAACTCTGTCTTTTATAAACATTAGTATCTCCTAGACAAAATGTATTGTTTTTTAAATATAAATACTTCTTTAAGAATAAGGCAAAAGATCTGAGCTGTTTGGTTTTCATTTCTAAGAGCGTTTTCATAGTTGAAGTCCTCAGTTAGTAGTTGCTTAATCAGAAGCCTGCATAGAGTAAGATGAATCTTGTAAGAAAATTGAATCATATTTTCTGGATTCATCTTAATATGTTCTTTGTACTTGGACAGAAAGCAAACTATTGATTCTGTTAAGTAACAAGAATTCAACCGAGTAAATTTTAAAGATCTCATTGGCTTTATTGACTGATTCATGAATCAGGCAGCGTCCCATCTGGGAAGTAGAAAGGAGCTCCACTGAGCTATAGAAAAGGAAAGACTTTTAAAGGCGGAAAGGGCGGAAGGAAGAAACTATTAGCCTAGAGTGCCTTGTCTCAGGCGAGGTTGTCCTGAGGGGGAAGGGAAGAGGCTTATCTGTGGGTACCGCACTGGTGCTGCCCAGCGACTTCCCGGTTGACGGGTAAAGGTTACATTCCTGGAGAAGCTGAAACTGCAGTTAGGTTAGGTATTAAGTCTTGGTTTGCTCCCTCGGTTAGCACAAGTGACTCCATTTTGGGCCTGTTGTCTGTTTTGTTTGTTTGTTTTAACAATTCTCATATGAGAATGATTTTATTATTAGCTTGTTTTCTCTCTCTGACATTTTCTTTCTTCCTGTTCCCTCTCCATCTCATCCTTCTCTCTTACTTTAAATTTGTTTAAAAAATTAGTAAAATTTATCATGACTTCGGATATTGCAGCAGTATTTTTTTTTTCCATCCTCAGCCCTGTTCCCCGAAGCCACCATATTTCTTTGTTCTAAATTACCTCTCACCTCAGTTACCTCTCACCATTGGCTGTATTGCTCTCGCAGTTCTGTTGGTGGAAGTTCTCATGAGAGGGTACCTTGTGCAGTCCTTGGCCAATAATAGGCCTTCATGTATTTTGGTGAAAGAGTGTGAGCGAAAGAAGATTGTAGATATGTGCCTAATTCCTTTATAATCCAGCCTATTGGTATTTTAAGCATAGCCCTGGGGCTTCTTTTAAAGAGTCTGTATTCTTCCCCTGTCCCTTAAGAGTCCAACATTTACACATCCCAAACTTGACCATGCGCATCTTTGTACTGCTTTTCTGTAAATTGAAAACATTTCTTTATGCTAACATCATTTAATTTTTTTTTCCTTCCAGCTGCCTTTGCAGCAGTGTTGCACTGGTAAGATTGTTTTTCTCCTATGGTATATTTTATGCACATGTTTGTAACTTACCATAGCTATTTCCCTTATATAAAGAAATAATTTCAGTATGATAAGCATGAATATATATTATCATATGCAACACGATAGTCTGAAAAAGTAGGTTAATTGATAAATCAGGGTCAGGATAATATATTTTTTTAATAAAAAAGATTCATTATTGAAGAGGTTATATTTGAAATGACTGCTTAACAGTATAGTAGTGTTCATGTTGAGAGGAAGATTAATTTTTTTAATCTTCTGGATAGAGAGAAATATGAATTTCATTAATCAGACATTTCTCAAATGGTAACCCAATGACATTTATAGTTTGTATCTTTATTGTACTTAAAATACCATTATTCTGGTTCATTCTAATTTTACTATCTAATTTGAATGTGTTTTCTTATAGAAAGAAATTTTAATATAAATGTAAGACATACTAAGTGGAAAAACAAATATGGGTACCACTATTTGCGTTTTATTACAAAATTATCTGCAAATTTATAGATATTTTTATTTTTGCTTTTAGAGCTCTTTTTTTTTTAAATAACACAGCGTAAGTTTTAACATTTCCTTTGTTGCGTTTTTGTTTTTGCAGGAGCCATATAACACACCTCTTTGAAAATGATCGGCATTTTTCTCACCTCTCGACATTGGAAAGAGAGATGGCTTTTCGCACTGAAATGGTTAGTTTTCGCATGGTATTTTGTTGCATTTTAGGAATCTAAAAATTTTAAGCTTTTTCTTATGGAAATTTTCAAAGATGTTCGGAAGTAGAAATAGTCCACACCTCCCATCTGCCCACCTTCCAGCTTCAACACCTGAAGACGCAGTCATTGTCTTTTTTCATCTGCACCTCCACACACCCATCTTTTTAAAGCAAACCTTAGATAGCATATCATTTTATCTGTAAATGCTTTCAAATATGGATCTCAAAAGAAAGGACTTTTTTGTTAACCACAGCACCATTGTCACATTGAAAACAATGAACAGCTGTTGCTTAATTATCATCAATTATCAATCAGTGTTTAAATGACTGGATTGGCTTTTCTTCTTCTTTTTCTCTCTTTTTTTTTTTTACAGTTGGTGTGCTGGTATGTTTGAATCAGGATCCAAAACAGTGTTTATACATTGTGTTTAGTTGTTACAGCTCTTATGTCTTTAAATCTATAAATTCCTCTTCCCATTTTGTTCTTTTGTTTTCCTAGCTATTAACTTTTGGAAGAGTCCTGGCCATTGGTCCTGTAGAAATACCCACAGTAATTCATGTTATTTATTATGCTCTACACTCCCAAGTTTCCTGAAATGGATAGATAAGAGTCTTGATAACTGAAGGTTTGATTTTTTGGGGGGGTGGGGGGCGGCAGGAATATGTCATAAGTGGTGCTGTGCATTTATTGTACCATACGAAGAGTCGCACCATATCTGGCTGTCTCACTTTCTGTGATGTTCTGATTGATCAGTGGCTGTAGGTGTTGTTGTCATGTTGATCCCTCCATTGTAGCCTAGCCATCAGCCTGAATCAGCTATATCATTAGGATTTCCAAATGGTGATACCTAGTCTATTATCTTTCTTCTACATTATTAACTGTAATTCCTATAAAGAAGAACTTTCCTATAATACCTCTTTGGTTTCTCTGAGGTACACTTCATACAGGTAAGACAGAGTTACTGCTTGTTTCTTTCTAGTTACCACTTTTCAGAAAAATGAGTTAGTTGCCTAGCATCTTATCCCGGTGACTAACGGAGTTCCTTCTTTTAGAGTAGTGTTATGATCTGATGAGTTTTGACATGTTTTGTAAACTTACCTGTCCCTAGGTGGTGAGAGCCCTTGCAGTTGGCTCTGTGTTCCTTGATATGCTTCCTTACTTTCCGGTCCTATAAGACATTTTTATCTCCTGACCCAGAGTGGTTTCCCAAGAAGCCCCAATTCCTTTCAGTGGCAAATGGTATTTAGAGACCACAATTTTGGTGCTAGAGATGCTCATTGCTGCTGTTTTATACTAGATTGGTCTTTTTTTTTTCTTTTTTTTCTTTTTCTTCACTTAGCATAATTTTTTTTCCCCAGTTTCAGGTGTACAAAACAATGTAATAGTTAGACATTTACACCCCTCACAAAGAGATAACCCTCCTCCCCTAGGTTGGTCTTTTTAAGGAACAGAATTAGGAAACAATTTATTACAAAGAAAATAAATCATTAATTTATATTCATATTTTTAAGTTCAAATTTAGGAATAGATGGTTTTTACTTATTTTATATTAAATTTATATCTTTCCTGTTAGCCTGAGAATCTTGATGTGAAATTACTTATTTTTGAGGAATAATAGTACCAAAGATATTATTAAAATATGATTGCTGAAAACAATTTAAGACTTTCTTGCATTTCTTTTTGACTTTAGGATATATTTCACTATATATAAAGTAAAATTGCTATGTCTTACAGTTATTAGAAATCCTCTCCAAACTTGATAGTTAATTGTTTTATTTTTTGTTTTTTCATATTTAGCGATTTAAAATTTTTTGTTTTACAATTAAATGAGATATTTACATGATTCCAAAATCAAACTTACAAAACAAGGTAGGTTGTAATAGTGTTGTCATAACAAAGTATAATAAGCTGGGTGGCTTAAAAGAGCAGAAATTTATGCTCTCACAGTTCTGGAGGCTAGAAGTCTGAAATCCAGGTGTTGGGAGGGCCGGGCTCTCTCTGAAAGCTGCAGGGGCGAGTCCTTCTTTGCCTCTTCCCGGCTTCTTGTCATTTCTGGTGCTCCTTGCTTTGCACTGGAGATGCAGTTGCTTCAGTCTCTGCCTCTCTTGTCATGTGCCCTTTTGTCCTGTGTCTCTGTGTCTAAATTTCCCTCTTATTATAAGGATACCAATTATATTGGATTTAGAGTCTATCTTATTCCAGTGGGACCTCATCTTAACTTGATTACATCTGCAAGGACCCTGTTTCCAAATAAGGTCCCATTCATAGGTTCCAGTAGACATGAAATTTTGGGAGACATTATTCAACCCAGTACAGTAGGAACTTAATTTTTAAAACAGTGATATGAGAACTAGAACACTATAGTATTAAGAACCATTTTTTCCTTTTTCAGTAAATAACTGGGTTGGCAGATCACTTTCATATTCATGATGCTTAAACCTGGGTTAACTGTACAGAAGATAGAGTTGCTTTCCCATGTGTATCTGTCTTGCGTTTATACTGTCATTTCTACTCCCCCTTAAGGCTTCTCATATTTGCTTGGTTTTTGTCCCATGTGCTAGTCCAACCTTGATCTTTCCTAATTAGCATGCCAAGCTAAAAACTTATCTGTTTCCCTTAAAATGGGAGCACCAACTCTGTCCCCCCTCCCCCACACCCTCAGTCCCACGGGGTTTTACCTTATGCTGAGCTGATAGGAAGGAGAATAGCCTGTGAAACTTGTCGGCATTAGAATGTAAGTTGTATGTGATACATCAATGTTTAGTCTTCCTAATATATTTGCATTTTTACATGTAAATCTAGAGGGAAGATGGCTTATGGTGCCATTTTGGGGATTCAAATAAGCAGTTAGGGGGAAACATTTTTGGCGAGGGAAGAACTTTTGGTTCATGGTAAGTTTAAGTTCCATAGTAAACCACTCATCACTGTATTCATTTGTGAGGTAGCCTTTTCTAACATTTACATCCTTAGGGGTTACAGGGTTTTCTTGAAGTATGCTGTCTGCTTTGTACTATTTTTTAAATTCTGAAACTATTTTGGCAGCTATTTTGAGCTTGATTGCTTCAGTTAAGACAAGGTTATACTAAAATATGTGATTTTTTTTGCAGCCTAAGAATTTGTCAGTGGTTAGAAATCTGTGGAATTGATTGTAGCTATTAGTTGCTTGATTGCTGTTTTTCAAAACCAGTGTCTTTTGAGTATTTTTAAGCTAATAGGTATACTAATTATGTCTTTTTATTATAACTATAACATGTGCTTATTTCAGGGATTATATTATTCCTACTTCAAGACCATTGTGGAAGCACCCTCGTTTTTGAATGGAGTGTGGATGATTATGAACGACAAGCTGACTGAATACCCCCTTGTTATTAATACATTAAAAAGGTTCAACCTTTACCCTGAGGTAAGTTACTTTTTCAATTGTGATTTTTTTTTTCACTTTTTAAAAACGTGTTATTTGTGTTAAATGCTACTTCTAAACCTAAGACATGATTCAATACAGTAAGTTTTATTTTATTTTTGAATTTTGTATAATAAATTATTTTATATTTTGAAAATAAAATATATGTCTTTTTTGGGAAAGGACTGTCATTATTAATTTTGAAGGGCTTTAAAGTGATTCTGTGGGAACTATTACTGTAATTGTTTGGTTTAGAAAATGTGAAAATCATCTAGATTTGGTGTGCTTGTAGGGATTATAGCAGGGGAACCCCATTACTTTCACATGTCATTTGCTAACAGTGCTTCTTCCCTGTCTGAGATTCTTCCTTTAACTGAATGTACTCTCTCTGCGTGGGGGTGGAGGAAAGGTTGGCCCCCAGGGGCGGGGGAGGAAGGCAGTGATGTCAGTAACTTTTTTTGGCCTCTCCCGTACTACCCCTGCCTTCATGTGACACAACCCTAAGCCTTCTCCAGGGCCCAGCTGAGATGTGCCTTCCTCAAGGATGCCCTGCTGGACTTGATAGGAGGTTCTGCAGTTAAGCACGCTCCCCCACGTGCCCCCTTCTCAGCAGGATGCCGCCCTAGCAAGCACAGCCTGATGCCAGGGCCATGGCTGCCTTGGTCTCTCAGGCGACCCAGGTCCTGGCTCAATGCCCAGCACTTAGCAGGGCTCTCAGTCATTTCCCATTGAGTGAGAAGAGGACTTGAATTTCCAGATCAATGAGTTGGCCTGATTGATGAATGAGGTAAAGGAGACAGAGACCAATAAATAACCACGAAGGTTCAGCGTTTTCCTACTGATCGCCTTACTGCTTATTGAAGATTTTCTGTAGCCATGTACACATTTACTTTTACAGAAATAGGATCCCACAAGGAAAATGGCATCACGTGGCACATGTTTTTTTTCTTTTTTTAATAAGTTCCTTTTGCCTTTTAAGACTATTTCTAACCTTCTTCCTCTGTCATCTTTTCTTCCACAGCATCATTTTTAATGGCTATGTGCACAATATACCATTGTTTCTTTAGTTCTCATACATGAAAATTCTGCTTATTTTCAGCCTTTTAAGATACTCTAAAGCTGCAGGAAGCATCTTTAAAGCTGTTTTTATACATACCCTTATTTTTTACACTATAAATTTATTGATGTGGAACCATTTAGTCAACAGAATGTGCATTTTAATGATTGTGGTTCATGTTGCCAAAATGCTTTCCCGATAGGTTATACTAATTGAAATTCCCACCAGTGGTGGTTTTGAAAATGCTTGTTTACCTGAATCCTTGTTTATTTGTTTAATCGGTTGCTCTCTGTGTGTGTGTGTGTGTGTGTGTGTGTGTGTGTGTGTGTGTGTGTGAATCATTCAATGCTATTTATAAAAAATGCATTTTCACTTTTAAAAATAATTGGTTGTTCATGCCCTTTGTCTATATTTCCATTGAAATTTTATAAGAGCTCATTTATTATATGGAGGATGTTAATACTACGTTACATGGATAAAACATTTTCCCCAGCTTTTTGTTTGCCCTTTAGCTTTGTGTATGTGTATGTATTCTTTTCTGTACAGAAATGTCATCTGTATGAATCTTTTTAACTTATATTTTTCTTTTATTCTTATATGTAAAACATCTTCATTCTTTTTTAGTTGTTACAATTATGTTTTTGATATTTACATTTTTAATTTACCTAGAACTTGTGTAGTGAGAGGTAGGAATGTAATCTTACACTTTTTCCAAATGATCTTCTGTGTAACCTAACACTTTGATGAGTGATCCATCTCCCCACTGATTTGAAAATGCATTCATTATTATGTTCAACATTGTTGTACATATGTGCTTGCATTTGTTTTTGGGCTTTGTGTTTAATATTGCCTTAGGTTGAGGTCCCAGAAAGCAGGCTTTGAGATGGAGATCTCCATGCAGAAAGCATGTATGGAGGTGCCCTTGGGGTCAGTGCCTGATGGGGAAGAGGAAGCAGAATACTGCAGAAGGAGTTGGGCTGTGACTGCATCACAGCAAAGGACTCAGCCAGTCCCATGGGAGCTCTGGAGCTGGGGCAACGCTACCGAGTTGTCCTACCTGAAACAAGGGCCCTGGCTGCTTTATATCCCTCCCCCGTTGACTAGTCAGACAAAGGATGTGGCTGTCCTTGGGTAGCTGGTGTGACCTTTAGTGAACTTAAGTGAACTGACTCTCTTTAGCAGAGGGTAGGTAGTTCCCAGAGAGGGACTTAGCTGAGAGCTGTCGGCTGCCAACCCTCCCAGCTGCTAGAGGAAGGAGCCCCTCAGCCTCTGAGGGGGCCTGGGTGGCAGCTCACCACCTTCACAACCGTTACTGTGACCTGTCTGGCTGTTCTTGTGCCACTGGCACACTTTTAACTGCTGTAAGTAGCGCATTTTAACATCTGTTTGGACATTCTCTTCAGCCATCTTCTTTTGTTATTCTCCTGGATAACAGTTCTAGGCAGACATTTGGGATTTGGGTTAGTATTGCTTAAGTGTGAATTAATTTGAGGGAGAGCTCATATCTTGAAAAATTAGATCTATTCAGGAAGACATAGTATCTTTCTATTTGTTCAGATCTTTTATATTCCTTAGTACAATTTTATAGTTTTGGAAATTCTAAATTTTGCGTGTCTCTGGTTATATTTTATTCTTGCCCATGGTTGAACAGTTGCGGCCTGACCAGTGCAGAGTCTGCGTAGGGGATTGTGAGGCTCATCTTAATTGATTTCAAAATCGCTAAGTGGTTGGTACCAGAAGGGAAAATTTGATAATTATCAAATATCTTAAAAATATTCCAGTAATGACACTGTTGAGGACAATATCTTTCCCCATAATGTCTCTATTTCTTTAAAATTAGGTAATCTTAGCCAGCTGGTACCGGATTTATACCAAAGTGATGGACTTGATTGGCATTCAAACCAAGATATGTTGGACGGTTACCAGAGGGGAAGGACTCAGTCCAATCGAAAGCTGTGAAGGCAAGTTTCTGTCTGTGATGTCGTCTAGTTATCTGTTGCAGAATAATAGTTACCCCAAATGTACGGTATCAACAGCAACCATTTTATTATGCTGATGGGTTCTGCAGGTCAGGATTGTGGGCGGGGCACAGCAAGTCCCGTTGTTTCCACGATGTCAGAGGCCTCTGCTAGACTCAAATGGCTGGGGAGACTGGAATAAACGGGGGGCTGCTACATTTACATTCTGGCTCCTGGGCTGGGGTGACTGCAAGGCTGGGCTCAGCTGGGACTCTCAGCTGGGACGCCTGCATTTCACTTTCCATTCATCTCGGGCTTCGTGTAGCATGGTACCCCGGGTAGTCGGGCTTTTCCTGCGGTAGCTCAGAGCTCCAACCTGGATACTACACGGCCTCTTAGGACCCAGCCTCAGAAGTCACATAGAATGGCTGCAGCCATGCTCAAGCCCAGCCAGACTCAGAGCTGGGTGTAGACCCCATACTTCTGCAGGAGGAGTGTCTGTGTCGGCAGCCCTCTTTTAAAGTCACACAGATACTACCTGCTTCCATCGGTGTTTTGCTGTAGTGTCGTGTGTTGGTATGGGAACCAAGGTAATCAATATATCTGGCAACCATTTTCTAAATAAGCATGTTTTAATATGAATTGCCAGACACATGAAGTAACTTATAAAACATGTTTTGTTTATTTTTAAAGGACTGGGAGATCCTGCTTGCTTTTATGTTGCTGTGATTTTTATTTTAAATGGACTAATGATGGCATTATTCTTCATATATGGCACATATTTAAGGTAAGACTAGTAATTGAAAATATTTTAGTATGCATTTATAATAATATGTACTAGAATAATATAAATAGTGAGATTAAGTTTTGGTTCCATTTTATAACAATGTCCTTTCCAATATATCTACTTGTAGATATAAAATTACTTCCTATTTGTATGATTTCACCATTTTCATGGCTAGCCAAACTGAAAATGATCTTAGAGGCTTAATTAGAACATGGTGGAGATATTTGATAATTTTTAAATATTCATAGGCATTTGAGCATCAGCAATATATATTGTTTACATAAAATGTAAAGGAAAGGACCACTCATTGTCAAATGGTGTTAATGGATCTTATTTTGCTAATGTTAAAATAGAAATACATTTTATGCAGAGATTTACTATCTGACCTGATTTACTTTGTAGTGGTGCAACATTCCTAAAGCTAAAAGACTGACAATTTTTTAAGGGTTTTTATATTTATTTCTCTTTTTTTTTTTTTTTTGAGAATGCCCCACATTGTATACTTGTTGAATTATTATACTTGTTGAATTACCGTGAGAATATCTTCAGACTTTTTTCTTTTTACTGCTTACTGATTCTTTGTTTTAATAGTACAGGAGTATGAGCATAGGTATATGATTTTCAGTTTGGGTGAAGGAATTTGAGTCTGCTATTCTCCCATTGTCTTCTTTGCTTTGGAAATGTGGCATTTTCATTTTAGTACCTCAAAGATCTGTCGAATTCTTTCTTAGCTCAGTGTTTGAGTATATAGCAGTTACTTGATAAATATTTATCAAACGAGGTAGTTGTTAGATCAATTTAAAATACATTTGCATATAGATTTAAGATACTTTGATGCTAATATTTCTGACTTAACTCTAAGAAAGTCCTTTTAATTATTTAATTGGGGGAGGCTGAAATGAAAGTGTGCAATTAAAAGATGATCTGAACACTTTTGGCTTTGAAACAAGACATACAGAAATAACTTAACCAAAGGATATAGTAATCAGGAGAGGAGACTGACTTAGGGAAAGGGAGGCCATTGTGCCTTGTATCGTGATGAGTCGAAAGAAGAGAAACTTGGGGGCATTTATTCATTTTGCTGCGTACTGCCCATCTGTCTTGTTGATAGCTTTATTACATTTTGGAGATTAGATGTTAAGTAAGAGAAGTTAAAATATGGAATATGGCATTATTGCCAAATTGCTAATCTATAGTTATGCTACTTTTTTCATTGAAGGAACAATCTCTATACATTTATTAAAGTCATCATTCAGTATCATTCTCTTAAAAATGCCTGTTAGAACCATCGTTTCAAAGACTGAAGGTCCATTTTCTGCTGCAGAGAATGTCCCTAGATGTCTGGCTATCCTGGGCTGTCATGATTAAGACTGGAGGACAAAAGAGCTGTAGGGAAGCTCTAAATCGTGGGTGGAACCTGTTAACATGGAGTTTTTATGTAATTTGAATCAGTGACGTGGGAAGAGCTTAGAATCACTGCCAGTTCTTTGGCTTGCCTTTAGCTATAAAAGAAAATATAATGTAACAAAGGCCTTTCAGGGTTGTGACGGGGAGGTGAAGTGTCTTATCAGGTTAACTGAAATGGAAGACTTACAGAATTTTTAAGAAGTGATTGGGAAGGGGCCAGCCAAGTGGCTCAGTTGGTTAGTTAAGAGCACAAGCTCTAAGCTACAGGGTCACCAGTTTGATTCCCACACGGGCCAGTGAGCTGCGCCCAAGCTGAGCTGCCAACAGGTGACAGGATGGCTCAGCTTGTGAGAGCACGTGCTCCTAACAACAAGGTTGCCAGTTCGATTCCCGCGTGGGATGGTGGGCTGCACACCGCCCCCCCTCCCCCCAACTAAGATTGATCATAGCACCTTGAGCTGAGTGGCCGCTGCTGGATGGCGACTAGACTTGGAGCTGAGCTAGCTGCGCCCTCCACAACTAAGATTGAAGGACAACAACTTGGCTGTTCCCCCTTCTCCAATTCCCCAATAAAATCTTAAAATAAAAAAGAAGAAGTGATTGGAAAAGAAGAAGACGACCTAAATGAGTTAGGAGGCATTGTCTTGTAGTGAGAATAGAATTAGGTAAGGCTTGCCAAGGCACTAGAATTCCTGCCTTCAGACAATATTTTTTAATTGAATGAAGTGAATAAACAAATTATGGAAAAGAAAACATTAGCTCTTGGTTGCCATATATGAAAGGCACAATACTAATATATTATTATCTATCACGTATGCTTTACTGGCCTTTACAATTCAGGAAATACTTCTCCAAATGGACGCTTCTGAAGCTTGCCCAGTGCAGACTATTACTTAGCACTGTTTGTTTACTGAAGAAATATATCTGTAGTGCCTTATGGACCAGCTCTAGTCTAAGCTCTTTACAGTCATACACTCATTTAACCCTTAGGATTAACCCTCTGAGATAGGTTAACCATTTTATAGATGACGAAACTGAAGCACAAGAACATTAAATAACTCCCCCAAGGTCACATAGCTAGTCATTTGCAGGGTTCGGATTTGAACGCAGGCTCCAGTGTGTGTGCTTTCGACTATGTTCTGCTATCTTTATGAATACATTTGAAATTTTCCTTCTAATAGTAACTCAGTTATTTGTTGCTATAGTTAATATGTATTTAAAGACACAGAGTAATGAAGAGAAAGCTGTTCATTTCCAAAGAGAGTAGTATTTACATTTCAGAAAAACGTTTCATAAAAATATTTCAAAAGAACATGGCACTTAGACGGATCTAGACTTTATGCTGTTTTTTTCTGGAATAGTTCATTTCCTAAAGGTTCTGAGGTTGCCAGGATTTTGCTGTTCTTACGCTAGTATTTCTGTAGGCATTGTTTATTTTCGTTTGATATGTAGAAATTTACTCTTTCTAATGTTGCCATTTATCAGGATCCTGTTTTGCTCCATTTTTAGTTCTCATACATGTGTGTGATTTTATAGTCGTTCTGATAGTTTCTTCATCAGTTAATTTTTCTTAGAATCATTTTGTTGCTGCTTTATAAATCTGAATGACAGGTAACATGCTGTGTGTGGCCTTTCTGTTCCTTGAATGTCTGTTTTTGTGACTGTACATATCTCCCTGATTCGTCATCCTCCATATAGAATTGTGCCTCTAATGCCAAAATTTTGAATGGTTTGACAGTTTCTGGTGTTTTAATCTATTTTTTTGAAAAGTTTCTCTTCTAATGGTTTCCAGGCCAAAATTAGTAAAATATACTATTTTGCTGCCTTTCATGGTGAATATGAACATCTGTTTTAATGTTACCTAGAAAATTTTTATGACTTTTTTTCCCTCATAGCTTTTTGTCTAACAAATATCAACAGGTCCCCAAATAAGTTGACTGAACAATTTTCTTTCTATTATTGTGTTCAACAGCTGGGTATGATACTTACTAGTATGTTTTAAAAACTGTCATTATTTTGTGTGCACATACACGACTGTGGCATCATTTGACGTTTTGTGATGAAACGCAGCTGCCAACGCAGCCATCCCTTGCTCCATCTGTCTCCGCCACCCACCCATCTCTCTGTCCAGAAAAACCACTCTTAGATCTCTGAAACCTCAGTGATTCTAGCGTGTAAACCAGCAGCCCGTATTTACCTTATTATGATGATACACGTATTGCTCACTGCTGAGTCAAGTAGTATAAATCATCATTTACTTGGTAACAGAATTTTTCCTGTCGTTGTCTACATACCAGATAACTCCAAATCTGAGATCGAACTGTAAAACTTTATACTTCGCCAAATGTATAAAATCCATCATTTCAGCTCTCCCTCCCGCACCCCTGGGGCCTCCCTCCTGGAGCCCTCATCTCCAGGTTCCAGCGCAGACTGGTTGCACAGCTGCGGCCCTGGGACCCGTGGGCACCACCCCCTGAGAATTCCCCTTTGTTTTGTCCTGTTCATTCACTGTTGCTTGGCTCTTACATTGTCTTCTTTCTTGATTATTCCTTCATGTTGGAGGATGCCATCCTCAGGCAATTCCCAAGAAAGAGTACATGGAAGTAATTTAAAAAAATATCTTTTGTGTTGGAACTTTGTTTTACTTCTATACTTGATTGCTGATTTGGCTGGTTTTAGAATTTCGCTTTTCCTAAGACTTTGTTCGACTGCCTTCTAAGATGCAATATAGCTTTTCAGAGGCCAAGTGTTGTTCAACCTGCCATCGTGTTCTTACGAACGTGGCCTGTTTCTTCCCTCTGGAAGCTTTTAGATTCTGTTTTTCTATAGTGTCCCAAAGGTCTTGATGTGGGAAATATAATTTCATTCTTTTAATCAGACATTCTGTTCTGATCTGGCCACTTACATTTCACATTCTTCCATTCTCAGGACAACCTTTACTAGTATTATTCCTTTGGTGACTGTCTCTTTTCCACTATCTCTGTTTTTCTCGAAATCCTGTTGTTTGGATATTGGAACTCTTGGATTGAAACCTAACCTAATTTTCTTAGGTTCCCCCCGCCCCTTATTTTATGTTATTTTTTATTGTACTTTCTGAGAGATTCCCACTCTCCTGAATTTTGAGTTTGAAATGTTCTTTTGCCCCTTGCATTGTCTCTTTGCCTCCAGGCCCCCCTTGAGTTTGTATTAGGCTCTGTTTGTCCTCCCTGAAAGCCCCCTCACAGTCTGCGAGTCCTGTGTCTGTCATTTAGTTAAGAATGAGGCGGCTTGTCAGAGGTGGTTAGAAGGTTGTAAGGGGGATGGGACTTTCTGCGTAGTGGGTTTTCTTATAGAAAGTTGAAGCTGTAAGCCACTTTGGGGGTGGGGAGGATACCCAGGCTTCTTCCATCTTGTAGCTCCATCGTTTATCAGATCAGCCACCTCTGCAGCCAACCAGCAGACAGGAAGAGACAGTCGAGAGGGCACGTGATTCTTAACCTCCTCGGTGCAGAGGTGACACTGGGTACCAGTAACCGTTCCCTGTCCCCTTGCCTCTTGTATGTGGACACTTATCATGTGAGGACCTGAGTACGCTCACCGAGACAGGGTCCCTCTTTTCCATTCCCTGCAATGTACCGAGATCAACCTTTTGAGAAAACTCTTTAATGATCTCTTTTAATGAACTCCTGTACATTTCATGTTTGCTGCTCAGTGTCACTGCGGCCACTCTGATCTTTTCCTCCTCTTTTGAATATTTACCTTTCTCCATCTGTCTTCACTCAGTTCTCCATTGCTTCTCAGCTTTTGTGAGAAAACCTGGCCGTTCTTTTGCAGAAATAGCTTGTCGTCAGAAAATGCCTTTTCTTCTGCCCACCAATTTCTGTTTCTCTCTTTTCTCTGGTCACTAGAGGTTCATAGTGGCTTCTTTGATACCAGAAAGAATTTTTTTTAGAACTATTTTATTTCTAGATATGTTCTAGAAGCCCTGAGAGCCTGAAACATTAGTCTGTATGTTAAACCCTCTTTTAATTTTACGCAATGCCCCCTTTTGATCCTGAAGTGAACAGTCGTAGGTAAATAGCCAGTGTTCCTGCTCTGTCTTCTTCTAATCCAACCCAACTTACCTATGAAGTGGCTCAGTATTTGTTGTAGGCTTTGGGGCAGCATAGACTAGCTTTTTATATCAATTCTTTACTCCTCCTCCGCACCCCACCTGTTTTAAGGAAAAGTTGATTTTCATATTCTTTACGTCAATTTTGCTTCCATTGTTTCATGTGACTTTTGTTGTTTTTCATAAAAAAGAAATCAAGCTTTTGCTGTTCATGCAGGCTGGATTTTCGGCTACAAATGCATCTTAAATAGGTTGTGGATTGCACCAGCTCAAACTTTTCCACCTCCATGGTTTTTTTGTTGTTGTTTTTTAATGTTCTATTAGCTTGGCCTGCTAGCACACCTCTAATCATTTGGCCTAATAGTTGTATATGAATATTTAAAAGATAAGTATTTCTCTTCAGTATGCATGCATTGTTGAAAGTTATTGGTTGAAAATATTGGTGTCTTTACCTCCACAACATGCCTGTCTTCATGTCATTATATCACCTTCCACTTTGGTTACATCCTAAATCCAGCTCACAAAACCCTACTGGTTTCTTCCTTCAGAGCATCTCTGGCGTCCTTGCACTTTAGAGAGAGCAGGGTTTAACCAAGGGTCCCGGCACAGGGTCTGCAAGTGGCACCACACACGGCTTCTGGCGTCCCCTCCTGGCCTCGAGCTTTCCAGGAGCCATGCCTGGAGCGTGTTTTCAGAGGACAGTGATGGTTCAGGACGGGAGGAAAGGGACGCCTCTGGGTAGAGACCCAGGGTGCCGGGAGGGAAGTGTTCACCAGGGATGAGGGTGATGGAGGGCAGTCAAGGTGGGGTGAGAGGGTCGGGGGGGGGGGCGTGTGGTGTCGGGTCCCAGGAGAGGCTCTGCTGGACACATGGCGCTGAGAACCAGCAGGCGCCCACGTCTGGGCCCAGGACCCAGGGCCCAGGACAGTAATGACAGGAAGACGAGGTACATTTGACCGCAAATTTCATCAAAGAATGATGCCAGAGGTCTTGGGATTGAATAAGTCTTCAGTTCCCTTTTATGTTTTCATTTACCCCTCAGATAGCTTTTGGGTCTCTGCCGTGGGCAGAGCTCAGTACTAGACACCAGGGCAGCTACAGTGAAGAGGGGGAGCTTCACAAGCGAGCACATAACATATTCTGTTTCTTCGCCCTGGCAGACAGAGGTTACATGAACACATTAGTTGGTTGCTTGTAACAGAGCGGGTGGGCTCAGCCTTCCCAGTTCTCCTCTTCCTCACCGTCGCTTTCTGGCTCTGTCCTCAGTGCTGCCGAATGTCCCCTCCTGTTGGTTGAGGGAGATGCCCAGCTCTCAGGACGGCCAGCTGGGCATTCCCTCCCCTGGCGAGTACGAGCTGAAGCCTTACACCTCAGCCTGGAGCTCTCTTACTGTCGGGATTTCTAAATAGTCTCTCATGTTCTCTCTCTTAAGCATTTGCATAGCAAGAAAACTAACTGCCCGAGTTATTTAATGACATTTTGAATGAACTATGATTACTTTCTTTTTCTCTTTGAATGTTGAACTTTGCACGTTTCATCATTCTTGGGTAGATAGAGGGAAAACCCCCAGTGATTAATGAAGCTTACCAAAATGTGACAGTTGCTTTCAATCATGTTACTTAAGGCTATAGGAAAGAAGAAAATCATCAAATTATTAAATGTCACAACTGAAAAGTATTTTTAAGGTCTTTTACATTCTTACCCTCTCATTTTATATCCGAGGAAATGGAGGCTCACGGGTGAATGAGACATATGAGTAAAATGTGGTAAACGTTTAGCAAGCTTAGATTGTTTTGAAATTTGCACCATAGGAGCGTTCATATTTTCTGACAGTTGGTGGTAATATTACAGAAGAAAAAAAATTTTTTTTAAACCACTAAGGAATGCTGAAATATCAGCTGATCAACTGCATGGAAAAAATTAATTTTAGGCATTCTGAACACCGCATCTTTTCTGTTTAGCAAAAGAAAATGACCTTTGTGGTAGTCTGTAAGGATTGCAGGGGAGGGACGCAAATGATAGGGAACTATTGTAGAGTTACTGCGAGTCACGTAATTCATAGTGATTATAACTCAGAGCAGTCCTTGTAGATAAACAAAGCATGGAAGGGAACCAGAAAATCTGCCTTCCTGGTTAGTTAAGCATATATATCATATATATATATATATATATATGTATTTTTTACATATATTATATATATATATATATAATATATGTAAAAAAATTTGATATTCCTGATCTGTAAATAGGGATACAGACAATCCAACAGAAAAATTTACAAGACTGTGACTAATTGACAGAAGAGAAAATGCACATTGTCAAAAAAAAAAAAAAAAATATATATATATATACAAAAAAACCCCCATTAAACTGATGCTCTGTACCAGTAGGCAGGATGTACAAATCAAAATAACAGTGAGAAAAAAGTTTCCACCTATCGGATGGGCAAAATGTAAAAGGATCGGGGCCCATCGGGTGCTGTGTTACAGAGAAGCAGACCCCCCCTGCGCTGTGGTGGGCGTGGGGACTGTGTGGCATTTGCAGGAAAGTTCACAACCTTTGACTTGGCAGTCTCACAGTCTATCCTATAGATATAAAAGCACCAGTATTTACATGGACAAGGATGTTTATTTTAACTTTATTATCATAGCGAGGAATTGAAATATATCTGTATGTCTAATAACAGGGAAAGGGCTGAACAAATTGCACTATATTTATACTACGCAGTATTTGACATCTATTAAAAAGAGTGCCTTGGGTTACATATATTGATTTGCAATAATCTTCATGATAGAATAATTAGAAAAGGAACAAATTTCAGAGGGGTGTTAATACTATGATCACGTTAAAATATATGTTTGCATGGCTTAGAAAAAAGATTTGGAAGGATGGGCACACACACAAATGTTAATACTGGTTATCTCAGGGGAATAGACTGGGGGAGGGTGGCAAGGAGGAAACCATTTTTTAAAAATATGTTGACCTCTGTACTTTTTCTCTTGTTAGAATAAGTTCAGAATATTAATATAAATCTATCTATCTATCTATCTATCTATCTATCATTTATTCTTTATTTAAACCCACTCTTAACCCCTGCATTATCTCATCCCCGCAATGAAGCCTGGGGTTTGCCTGTTTGCCTGTCTTTTGAAGAAGATGTGTGTCTCTGAGGAGAGGCCCCTGACTGACTTCCGCTCCCTGGCCTGTGCTGTTCTTACTACTTTCTGGCAACTTTATCTGTCCCTCTTATTTCTGTGATCCATCACTTCAGCTACTCTCTGGCCAATATACTGCTTCTTTGCTCCTTTATGTGCCATTTGTGCCAGTTCTGGTCGATAACTAGTGGGGAAACAGCACTATCCTACCATTAGTGTCCCTGTGAATTTGTGAGCTTGAACTTCGGTTGATCCTTTAAAGACAACTCTGCGGCCCTTCTGTTTTCCCTCCTTACCTCTTCTCTTGAGCAACAAGTGGCTGTGACCCCCACTCTGTAGGGAAAGTGGCAACTCCACTGAGCCTGCAAATGTCACCCCTGTCCTGTGCCAAGGCTGACGGACCACCTGTGCTGATTTGTGCTATATTTCACAATTTTTTGAAAACAAATGAAAGATGAACCTTCAGCTGTAACCTAATGTTTCCCAAGCATGTTCTGCAGAAAAGTTGCTTGGGGATGGAGTGTGGTGTTTGCCAACTTTATGACTAGTAAGTCGTTTTCTGTCCTCTGCCTGCTCCCTTTTCCTGAGTGTATATCATGTGTCCCAAGGAAAACTGAGATACGCTGACGGACACACAGAAATACGTGGGATTAAAGAGTAAAAAAAAAAAAAAAGAAAGAAAAAGGAAGTTCAGGTTGCATGATGCTCAGTAACATGACTATTAAGAATTTCTTATTTCCCCAGCCCGAGCTGAGCAGCCGCTGAGCTGCCGACATGTAGCAGGATAGCTCAGCTTAAAAAAAAAAAAAAAAAAGAATTTCTTATTTCCTGTCAGTTTGTGTGTTCTGTACATTTTGACGATGGAAATGATTTGTAAAAAATGAAACTTGTTATGACTAATGATACTTTAGAAGAAATAAGCTATTTTGTAAATAAGCATAGTAGAGTTCTAGGGTGCTAACATTTCTGTAGTAATGAAAGGTTATCATGTTACGTTATTTCAAGGTTTTCTTAGGACTGGCCTGGATGTCTGTTGCTTGAGTTATGTTTCCCTCCCTCTTTTCCAGCGGCAGCCGATTAGGAGGCCTGGCTACAGTGTTGTGCTTCTTTTTCAATCATGGAGAGGTAGGTAGTCAACAAGTATTTCCTTTCAAAACCTGGAGGGGGTTTTCCTTCTAGAAATACAAGTTTCTTCTTTAGATAATCAATTTTTTCCCCCCCGATTTAGGAGATTTTACTTTCAGAATCACAGGTTTCTTTTTAAAATTTAATTTCTTTAAAATCTACAGTAGCATTCTTTAAATGTTTGATCTTACTTTGATTCAAATTTTAAACACCAGCATTTAAGTTAACTTTTCATGATCATAATATATTTTGTGTGACATATCTCTTAGTAATTTGAAGAAATAGTGGGTCTATATCAATTCTTCATATAATTTAAAACTGAAAGTTCACGTTTTAGCTATAATAGACATAAGCTAGCCATGGATATAGTTAACTTGTATGGGAATAACTTTTTGGTATAGCAGCTCTATCGTATGTTTCTATTTTAATGTATTCATATTAAACTTTGATACACTGTTAAGTGTTCTTTATAGAATATTGTATTATAGTTAATAAATGTGCACGTACCAAAGGGTTTTCTAAAGAGAATAGCTTTGTAAAGAGCATAAACTCTGGGTCCAGGATGCCTGTGTTCAAATCCTGGCTCTACCATTTAGTGGCTGTGTGACCTGGGCAAGTCATTTAATCTTCCTTGCCTTAGCTTCCCCTTTGTAAGTGGATATAATGATGTTACCCATCTCATAGGACTATTGGGGACATTAAATGAATTCACCTGTGTAAAGTGCCTGGAACAATGTTTGACACATAGTAACTGCTATCTAATTCTTAGTTTGTATTATTGTTTTGTTGTTATTATTATTAAACTTAGTTTAGGTGAAATTCTAATATAAATTAAAGGTGCCAGTGAAACCCTTCACTAAATTAATCAGAGTTGCAAATGAATTTTTAGTAACATCTCTGTTCAGTTTTCTTTCATGGTAAGTAAGTTTTGTACGGGGGAAGAAGACTGGTCCTCTGGCCTTGTGAGTTTACACACTAAGTGTCTGCAGTGTTTGAATATGCAGCTGTTACAAAGCTCTATATAGGAGCCTCATACTAAAACTTAACAGTAGCGTCAAGGTTGAACTTTTTTATTCAGCAGGTTACTAATAGATACTGAACTAATACATGCTTACTATGTAGAATCACAGAAATTTAAAGCGAGAGTGGCCTTACAGATTAGAGCACGTGACAAATAATTGCAGTATAACATCAATTAATTGGGTTGGTCTGAATTTTGAGAAAAAAAGAAAACGGAGCTGTTCGGCTCTTCTTGTCTGTGGGCGCCGCCTGGTGCCATCGCGTGGACCATCAGGCATCTGGAAGCACAGATTCTGTGAGAAGGACCTGAGAAATAGGAACTCACCGCTCCACGGTGGAGGGAGGCGCATGCAGTGTTCGCCTAGAATGTGGGAGGGAAGGGCTTGTTGAAAACCTTGAAGCCAAGGCAGAGTTTTAACCACTGTTGACACAGAAAGCTCTGCTGTGCCATCCTTAGTGTTAGAGGTTGTGGACTCCTGACCTTAACATTTGTCTTAGAATTTTGATACTCATGGAGTACGAACATCATTCCTTACAAAGTCTTTTTGGTATTTTAACAATGCAATTCAGACTATTCAGTTTATTTTTCAGGTTGATAGCTCTTTTGGATATTTTTCATTTACTCAGTATATCTAAACGTGCTTAGACATCACTTTCTACTTAGGAAAAGGTTAACTAAGTGTGATTAGAATTAGAATTGCAGTTTTACCAAAATAGTCAAGTAGATAACTGTACTTACGGAGCATGAATTGCAGTTTGGGTAAAAGAATGATGAGAACTCAAATAACTCAAAACTATTTTATTATAATATTGTATTTATTTTGTTTTTCAGATTATGAGGTTTTCAGACCCTGTTTTTTTCTGACTTTTAAAAATGTTGCCTAGAGTATCTAATTTCTCTGTGGGGGAGCATTTTCTCTGGTAGCACCTATTGATGCATTTAGTGAATTTTTCTACAGTGTCACAGTGTTTTGCTGACTGGAATTGCTGGTGGCTTACTAATTGGTACTCTTCTTTCAAAGAAGAGCTATTTTAATCATGTGAGTGAGTGACTTATGGGGCAGAAAATAGTTGTGAATTGTTACTTGCTTTTAAGTTCTATTTCCATGATTTAGTTTGCTCTCTACTTGAGCCTAAGATAGTATATGACACACTTTTAAAAATATTCTTTATCTCAGATGGTTTTACAAGGAAAAATTTTTGCTTGAACAAAAGAACTATAAAATGTGTAGTATAAAAGGATTAATTAAATTATTTAAAATAAATTTAAAACCTTCAAATTATTTAAAATAAATTTAAAACCTTCAAATCTGAAATGTGCAAATGCAATACAGGAGCTATTCATTGCTCATAATAACGATTGACAATATTGAGGTTATACATTTCATAATAAAATTATGCAGATATTTTCACTTATCTAGGTTTTTTATTAAATGTCGATTCTGTCCCTATTGAAAATTGTTAAGATGAAAGCTAACAGTTTTGCTCTGACTTTAAAATGTTTCTTATAATAAGATAGGATGTTTGCAGCATGATTGATCTGCAGGATTTTTAGCATGCTGATTGAAAAGCATTTAGATGAATATATTAAAAAACTAGATATAGTTTTTTTTCCCAATTCTGACTGTTAAAAACTCATTATACAAGTGTGTGAAATAGGTTTGTTTTGCTTTTTCATGATGAGATTAAAAACTTATTACCAAGCCTGACTGATGGTGTTTTATAGAAAACACGTTCACAGATATAAAGATATGCACATATGAAGAGGAAAATCCCTTTCTTTTTTTTATTTTGAAACCAAAGTAATTCAAAGTATATAAAAGAATTGCTTTAGGGGCATATCTAATTAACCTTTTTTTGTTACCCATAACATGTTTCTGACCTATATTAGTTTCTTAAATACTTTTGAACTGAACTAAGATGAAAAATATAAATGTACATATTGCTAATTACTTACTGACATAGTTATGTCATTTATATAAGGTTTGGAAAGGAATTCTCAGAACACTTTGAAAACAGTCTCATTAATCCTTATAATATCCTGGTATGGTCAATAAGTAGTGAATAATAATAATCTAATATGCATTAAAATGGAACTCAAAGGTTAGGTGTTTGGCTCAAGATTGCTAAGCAAGGAAAGCATTCTAAATTTTCCAACTAGCCAGTAATCTAACTTCTGTCAAAACAGAATTCTTAGATAGGCGACTAGGTTTTCAGTGACAACACCACAATTTACCTTTTACAACTGAAAAGTCCAGACATCTTTGCTTGCCAATTTGTGGGATTTTTTTTTTCTTTCCCTTTTTCTCTTTCTCCCTCCTTCCCTCCCTCCTATTATTCCATCTCTTTCTAGTGATGGAAAGCCAGGACATTTATTCTGCATCTTCTGTTTATTCAACTCAATTAAAGCAATGTATACCGAGGGCCTACTCTATGCCTGGTGCTTGTAGGTGCTGGGCATGTGTCTGTTGTTAAAATAAAGATTCCCCGTTCTTGTGGATAATCATGTGATGGTGGGACGATCTTTTGCTTGAGTTGGGAGAATACTGGCTTACTTGGGGAGTAGCACTGGGGCCTTGTGACAAGAGCAGAGAGTGGAAGGGATAAGGCCACACAGTCACTAGCAGGGGGTAGGGTGTGGAAGGAGAGCATTCTGTAGCCCTGTCGGTTATTGTAAGGTTTACTGGGAGCAGATGGGAAGGCCACTGGAGGGTTACATGCATAACAGTGACATGATTTAAATATTTTTTACATCAATTTAGAAAATAGTATTAGTGCAAGATGTATTATTTATTTAGGCTATTGAGTGGTATGCTTACGGATTTGTGAATTAATATTAAACTTAACATTAACGCTGAAAGTCTGAAATAAAAGAGCGTGTGCTGATCTTTTTGGGAATGAATCTGTGGCTGTGGATTTGAGAATCGCCCCATAATGGAGCAGAAAACTCGCCTGCAGGGTCCTTCCTGACTGGGTCCCTGCTGGAGCTCACCATTGCCCATGCCGCTTTCTTTGTTTCTGTCCTGTTGTCCTTCCCTCTAGTTCTCAGGAAAGACCATTCCTTTTCCTTCCTCAGGGCCTTTGCACGTACTGCTTCCTGTGCCTTGCATACTTTTCCTTTATCTCCTAACCAGTGTCCAGTTAACT